GTCTGCAGAATCAAAACCCTCAAAGTACACCCTGTAGCGAGTAAAACTCTAACACAGAACAGACCTGTCTATGCTGCCCCAGAACGCCTCGTTGGGGATTTCTCATTCTCCATTTTTTTCTTGCTGAGTACAGTGACGTGACCATATCCAAATAGACCCATTGGTCCAAATGGACCAATCCGTGGAGCTCCTCACACACACACACACATACACTCTCTCAGCGGCGAAACTGTGACGCGCTGGGGGGGGCGTGCTAGTGGAGCCTCACAGCGGTGAAACTGTGGCGCGCTTACACTGTAGGTGCGCCGCGTTTGGGGGTGGGGGTGCTAGTGGAGCCTCGCAGATGGGGGTGCTGCAGCCCCCCCCCCTTTCCCGTGTCCATTCGCAATTTCACGGCACCCAGACCCCATGCAGCATTCTCATCTGTTTGTCATTACTGGTGTCATTTTCTGGTTGCTAACAAACATAATCACTGATGTTCCGCTGTAACGGTGGAGGACTCAGAGTGTGCGAGCTGACGAATCAGAGCACAGTGGGCTCATAGGGAGGGGCGGGCAGGAGCTCCAACAAGCCATTTAGGACAGAGAGTGAATACACATACTATACAGAGATGCTGTATGAGAAACCAATGTGAGTTTGGAACATTGAACAATGTAAATCTATTCTAGTAGACCTCAACAATGGAATTATGATCAGTAGAAATGGCCATGACACGGGACCTTTAAGACTGTGATGACGTACCTGTTTTATGAGAGCCAGAATGTCCACTTGTTTCTTCAATGTACAGCCTGGTAGAGACACGTCAAATTGCCTTAGCCACTCATCCTGACTGAGTGAAGCCCCGTCCTTTGTACACAAAGCCCCTGGAAAACATGACCATCTTATTATTAATCTTTATTTATGGTTTAATACACTTAGAGGTCGTTGTAGCAGTGAGGTCACTCTACAACAGCAACTTTCCACAACTCTCATGCTCAAGCTGAAACTCAAGAGATAAATAATAAGTTAAGTTAGGTCACCCCTTGCTGGCCATTAGAAAGAATACAAGTTTAGGGCCCTTCCAGCATTGGCTTCACTTTTCAAAACCGGAGATTTCCACTTGTATGAGCCACACTCACAGTATGCTATCGTGATCGTCTGAACCCTATGAGACAACATGAACAGTAATCTCTAAATTCATACCTGACTGCTCGGGTCCTTTTCCAGGCCCCTCCACTCCAGACATGTCAGGGTTTTGGGTTGGGAACGTCACCTCATAAGAACCCGGCATCCGTATATTAAGCAGCTGGGCCATGGCCAACATGACGTGGTTCAGTTTCTGGAAAAAAGTCAGTTCAAATTTGTGTTAACTGCGTGAAAATAGAGAAAGGTTAAACAGAGGCAAAGATATCATAGCTTTGTACCTTGGCTGCAGCAGAGGACAGGGTGAAGGTGACGGCCACTTCGTTGTTTTTGGCCTTGTCCCAATTGTTGGTGGTGGAAACCACCTTGCTATCGGATGCTTCAAATGGTTTGTTTTCAGGGAATGCTACAAAAGAAAATGAGTACATTATTTGTATATGCAGTTTGCATAAAAGCTAGCATTTAAGTTATATAACAGTTTGATATTAGATACATATATACGTAAAACGTCCAGAATGTTGTGCAATACCTGGGATGGCAGTGCGAGGTATGAGGGGGATGATTGGGGATATTGCTCTCTCCGTCTCCTCCTCTTTGGGCTCCCGTAGGTGAGGGAAACGTGGCGTTTCATCTCCTACGTTACTCTCAGGGGAAGAGGCCGGAATGATGCTTTCTGGAGCGTCCTCATCATCACTCTCCATCCTGTAAGAGAGACATTTCCTACATTAAAAGCCATTCAGCAAAAAGAAATCCACGTATTCAAGCAGACATCAGACTTCTCCTGTGGTACCTGATGTCCTCATTCTGGTTGTGTGGTGGGGTGGGGAGAGCTGCTAGGATGTCTACACTCTTCACCTCCTCTTTCACAGAATCTGCAGGGAAAATATAAAGTATTTAGAACCACATTTTATATTCATGAAAAACATTCATTCATGCCAAATCCTTCATTGTTTACCCATTGGCTCTTCTGCTGTCTCTGTGTCTTTCTGACCCTCAGACAGCTCCTCCCCAGAAGTCACTCCATTCAGCAGCTTGTGCTGGACTGAAGGCGGAGGAGTAGGTGGCAACGAGGATGGAGGTGTTGGGGGGTTGCTAAGGTTACTCTGTAAAGGCAAACAACAGTTTCATTGTAAAACAACTTTGTTTCCAACCTTTAAATTCCTTTAATTAGAGGTGCAACGATAAAACAAAATAATAATCTGATGTGTTGTCAATAACAAAAATATATTATAGTATTCCAGCATGATGTGTATGTATATGAGTGTGTATACACATATTTTATTTATCCTTTGTGGTCTATCTATGTTATTGTGATTATGTAAATGAGGATTATTAGTATTATTCAATTCTTGTCAAATTGTGGATGTGCTGTGTGGCTGTCTGTGGGGGGTGTTGTGTATTGTTCTGTATTTTGTGTTAAATGTGTGAAACTCAATAAAGATTTATAAAAAATAATATATACACAATATATATATATATATATGAGTATAATAATAAATGCTGTCCTACTAGCAAATCAGCAAGCAAATGTTGGCGCAGCCTGCAACAGCTAACCATTACATGTTTTGTTTTACCTTTGTGAGTAACTGTGAATAATAGTCGGGGATATTGTCCAGCACTGCATTTCCAAAGGATCCTTTGAGCTGGGCTTTGCCGTTGGCTGGGCTGCTTCCGAAAGGGGCAAACAGATCCAGGCTGGCAGTGATTGAAGGCTCCATCAGGGGCAGTAGAGAGAGACCCTGAAGGGTGAATCGGTTAGTTTACACAAGGATGAACCACTTGAAACATTTCATGAAACTTAATTTAGCTATCCCTTTACCTGTTTGAGTTGCTTTAACAGGGCTTCAGCACTTTTTCCAACTTCTTCCTTCTTATTCTTCTTCCTTGCATTAGGGCCTCGGTCTCCAGCTGCCTTGTTACTGCGCTTTGGCTTTTGTACCGGAGACCTTTTGGTTATAGACTGTAAATCCTGTAAGATAAATAAAAAGGAATGAGAGATTCTTTCCCCAACAAAAACATTATGCAAAAAAGAAAGCATTCAAGAAAAACATACCTCCATATTTCGTGGAGTTCCTTGAAGTTTTTGCTCCAGCATCGCTAGTTTACTGTTAATGTGGCCATTTATTTCATTGTGGATTCCTTCAGAGGGCCTTTGGGCACCAAGCTGAAGATTCTTGGTTCTCAGGAGTTTCTGAAGTAGTTGCTGTCCAGTTTCAGGGCGAGGGCCTTGACTCCCAGGATCTCCAGCATTGATGAAGCCAGTGTTGTTAGCAGAAGTAACTGCGTCCCCCGTTGCCTCTCTCTTTATAGCCCCAGAATGAGCCTCTGGTGCACCATCACAATGAAACTCCCTTGGCTCCTGTTTAATGTTCTGTAGGGTCATCTTGTATATCTCTCCTACTCTAGAGCCATGTTGTGTGTGAGGACCGTGGCTCTCTGAGACCTGCTGCACATGTTGCTGAATATTCATGACTTTCTGTGGACCGTTGGGAATAACTGAACCTGGGTGAGACATTTCATTGCCTGATATCTGAGCTTCCATTTTCATTCCTGGACAATTGAGTGGACTCTTGGCTCCAGGTGACCTGAGTGGAGATGCCTTGACGTGGCTGTACGGACTCCCCCTTCCAGCCCTACTGTCAGCTATAGAAGGTGAGGAAACATGCGATGAGTGAGGTGAGGCCGGGTGGGCTGGGCTCATGCCGAAGGGCCCTCTAGGTGAGTATGCATGGGATGGAGAACCCTGCATGCGGCCTGCTGCAGCTGCCATCATTGCTTGTTGGTTCTGGTTGGGAGTGGGTGGACGCATCCCCATAGCTGGATTAAATGGATGCCCAGGAGAGTTGGCTATTGGCTGACGTGGAGATGTTGGTCTTACCATGCGGCCCTGGTCCAATGGGGAAGGCGGCACTGGCACCTGGCCTCTCATCATATGTTGCTGCATCATCTCTCCCACCTGTTGCTGTTGTTGCCCGGGGACCATCATCCCTTGCTGCATTTGGGGAGCCGCAGCAGGTTGTTGGCCCAACATGCCCGGTTGTTGCTGAGGGCCCACTGCTCCTGGTTTCCCGATGGCTCCATATGGCATCTGCTGCACAACCTGTGGCATCTGTCCCTGTGGCATCTGTCCCTGTGGCATGTTAGGCCTTAACTGACCTTGTCCCATGGACATCCGCAACATCTGTCCCTGTTGGAGCTGCCTCTGGGCAATCATGGCCTGGATGTGCTGAATCTGCTGGTTTGGAGGAAGATTACGAAGCTGGGGATTCTGAGCAATTATGGCCTGGATGTTGATGGGGGTGCGGATCTGTCCAGGTGGACCCACAGGCCTCTGCGCTATCATCCCTTGCTGCTGGGCTCTCATCATGCCCATCATGGCCTGTTGCTTTTGCTGCTGGGCCATGAGGACTTGTTGTTGTTGTTGTTGTTGTGGATTATGACCCATTACAACAGGCTGTGGCTGGCCAGGATGGTTCTGACCTATGATCTGCTGCTGGAGGTTGGGGTTTGGTGATTGCTGCATGGCATTTTGACCTGCTTGCTGTTGTTGCTGATGAGCCAAGAATTCAATTGGTTTGACTTCCTCCTTTATGGTCATCATCATAGGCTTGTCAACACCGAGGGACCCTTGCCTCTGGAGAGTGAGAGGATGTTGTTGCTGATGTTGCTGAAGCACAACAGCTTGTTGGTTTTCAACCAAGCCTGTTTGTTGCTCAGGGGCAGACTGGGAATTTAATTGTTGCTGCTGAGCAATATACATCTGGTTTTGCTGCTGCTGCTGCTGCTGCTGCTGCTGTTGTTGTAACTGCTGTCGTCCCAAGTCATTCTGATGATCATTTGCAGAGCCTAGGTGGGACATCTGATTGGGTGTTGAGGGTCCACTATGCTGTGGTGGCGTTCTTGAATCAGGGCTGAGGATCCCTCCCTCTTTGGGGCCTGAGTTTTGGTTATCAGTAGCTGCTTGTGGCTGGGGTGTGATACTTCCTGCTGAAGGCGAGGAGCCCATCTGTGGGGTAGAGGGTTGGGAGAGAACTCCTTGCTCTTGGCTGGACTGACTTATCAACTGTGTTTGTCTTTGCTGTGCCATCTGCTGCTGCTGAAGGTGTGCCATATTCTTTGCAACATGTTGCTGCTGCTGCTGTTGTTGTTGTTGTTGAGATGCAGCCATGCGTTGGGCCAGTATGCTCTGTTGTTGTGGAGTCAATTGGGTCTGGGGACCCCTGAGCACAGGATGACCCGGAGAACCAACCATTCCCTGCTGACCCACCACCAGCTGAGGCCTCTGTTGCTGTGATGGTGCAACAGTGGGGTTTCCCATAATCCCTGGTTGAACTGCCATCATGGCTTGAGCATGGTTCATAGGCTGGACTCCTGCGAGGTTCTGTGGAAGTGGAACCACAGACTGGCCTCCAACCATTCCTTGTGGGACATGCACCATACTCTGCTGATTGGCCTGGTTGACTAGCATTCCCTGTTGAGGGTTTGCTTGCTGTTGGGCCATAAGCGGGTTCCCCATCATGCCGGGCGGTGGCTGGGGGACTAAGCCAGGCGGTTGATTTGGGTGTGGCATCGGTTGCTGCCCCATCATCCCCTGTTGTTGCTGCTGGAGCTTTGCCATTTGCATCCTATGTTGAAGCTGTCTTTCTTGGAGAAGCCTGGGGTCTGCACCTTGAATTCCAGGCCCCTGTGGGAAGAATCCTGTTGGAGCACCAGGTGGACCAGGGGCCCTGGCAACGCTGGCTCCCATGGCTGCAGGAAGCTGGGGTTGGGCTCCACCAACAAAAGGCTGCCCCTGAGGCATCCTGACAGGCATTCCACCTTGGGGCATCACACCAGGGTGTTGGCCCATTACTGGTGTTCCCTGTTGGCCAATCATCATCTGGCCAGGCATCTTGGGAAACATGTGAGGAGGGGCCGCCTGTGCAGAATGACCTGGGGTAAGAATACCTGAGCTTTGTTGATGCTGCTGCTGCTTGCTTCTGTACTCTGCAATGAGATTGGTGTGCTCCTTCTGCTGCTTGCGTACCTGGAACAATTAGGAACATATATCATTTTGCAAATCTAGATGCCATGTGCCGTTTCTGTAGACACCTTTTTATACTTATACATAAACTGTTAATGTAGTTAACATAAAATCTACACACCTGGTCAAGCTGTTTTTGAATTTTGCTCTGCTCTTCTGTTACCAACTTTAGTTTCTCTGCATCTGCCTCAGCAAACTCCCTGCCAGCTTTCTTAGCAGTGCGTTGCTTAGCACACAGTGCTTTGCGTGATTTGCGGTGAACTCCAATCTGTTCCTCCAAGAATTTTAACTGCATTTGGAGTAACTGCTGGGTGTGCAGAAGCCATTCTTCATATTGGTGCTGTTCTGCATCATCTGTAACAGAAAGATTCAGTTAAGACAACCACAAAAGAGGAAACAGCAATATAACCGTTTTCAAATGATTAAATGTGTTTTCATCGGCAGTAAGGGTGGAACGTACTGATGATTCCTTGCACAAACTGAGGCGGGTTGGGTCTCGACACTGTAGGATCACTTGTTTCTCCCTCCTAAAAACGAACAAACATTTATTAATTAAGCTACATAAGAGTGAAAATAAAAGTTCATCAATACATTTTTGACAAGCCTGACAGCATACCTTTGGAGGTACAAGTGTCGGCTGATTTGGATCTGTGCCGGGGGCAGAGGACAGCCTCTGAGCAAGCAGAGACACTTGTTGCCTGAAGAGGAATCAAAACATAAAACATAAAACTATAACTGCAACATCTCAAACAATTGTCTGGGATGGAAAGTTGTTTCCAAATCATTGATCAAAAACGTTAAAATGATCAAGATGTTTTCATCACCATGAGTGTTTTGTTATATTGAATAAGATAGGACAGTTCAACTTTGATACTGCTACATACCAATTCACTCTCTTTTAAAATTAGGAGTGGAGAATAGTTTGAAGATAAAACAACATGCTTTATCTGCAACTCTTCTAGAGGGATAGTCACTCGCACAACACATCCTACTCTAACTAGCAATCTTTAAATATTGAAGGTTTCTTTTTTACACATTTCTGTCTTTTTCATTTAAATGTTTCTGTTTTTATTCAAAATCTGCTTAAAATTTTTTATTCAAATCAAACAGAATCAAACATAAGGCCCCCAAAAATCTACCGAACAAATGAAAGTAAAAAGAAATACCTGTTAATGCCAGGGGGAACAGCCATTGGATCCTGTGCCAACACTCTCTTGATACCCTTAAGGGCCACCATCTTTGCCTTGGCAATTGGATCCATGATGTCATCGGTTGCAAATTTGTCCAAATCTGCAATGAAATAGGAAAAAGGTCTGATGATACAGTGACATGGATGGAAGATATTTTATTCAAGAAATAATTCAGATGAACAATGTTAATGTGATTGTAGCCCTTGTATGCCACTAAGAATGATGAAATGATCGCATAGTAAGTACATCTAGCAAGTACATCTTTTAGAAACAAATTAGAACATTTAAAAACAAAATGCTAAATAAAAAAAAACATTGTTCAATGTCTTTGCAATTTAAAAAAAAAATGTATGGGAGGGAAGACCCTGCAGTTTATTTTGGTATCTTATTGGTAAAAATGTTGGTGACATTCTTGTCAAAAATCTAATTCCGTCGTCGTCGTCGTAGAGTTGGGAGGGAGGGGTGGTCCCTCCGTACCGCGAGTAAAGGACTCGCCGTGAGGCTTCAGTTCGTTGTCGGCGTGGGGCAGTTCGGGCCGGTCTATTACCGACGGTGTGGTGGTGCAGGTGGTGGTGTCTCTTTACTACGCGACGTCGGGTCCTACCATTGGGGCACCGGGGGGCGTGTACTAGTCGTTGTTGTCCGTCGTCGTCGTCGTTCTCCGACGTCGTCGCTCGTTTTCGATTACCTTGACTTTTAAACCCCGGGAGGGGTACTTGACCGGTGGTCGTTTCGTACACTCTACCCGTTCGGCCCTAGGGTGGGCCCACAGCAGTAGTTGGCGTCGGCGTTCGGACCAATTTTGACCGGAGACGGTTGTTGAAGAAGGGTCTATTTTCCGATTCGGAGTTCGGAATACTTTAATTACGTCCGTTTACCTGCGAATTATTATCAAGTGCAATATAAC